GTGTTTCATTTTAATTCATTTTAGCATGCTTTTCATCTTTGATTGTTTCATGTGATTCAAATTTTTCAATTGTAGTCCTTAATTCTATTAAATTTGCTAAAAATCAGCAGTAAATAATCAGTCATCATGATGTAATCGTCAAGTAGAGGAAAGGTCAGGAGTTAGTGAGAGAGCAATTAAGTCAGGCAACACCGCAGGCGAGTCTCCCCGAGAGGCATGATAGGTGTGAAGTGAGATCTTTTAAGAAAGTCCTACACCCCTGAGATGCGGCGACATGTAAGAAGCCAGGTCAGCGCGCACAATGAGCCATAGCAGTCAGTACGAATGCGTTAGTATATACTGTAATGTACAATATATATTCTTCAGTTATGTACTGCGCATGTAACGTCAGTCATGACGCGGCGTTCGCTGTGCCACCCGCAACTTTCCTGAGCCGCACTCTCGGAGGAACTATTCCCACTTCTTGCAGGAGGCCCAGTGCCAATCAGTAATAGCTTCGACAAAATAATTATCCTAATACCCTTTAAATCTGCGATCCTACGCAAAGTACCATACCGTGAATTCACGGCTTTATCGAACCAATATCTGGTGAACATAGGTTGCCTCATTAATGATTACCGCCTTCATCCTTACAACTTCAACTTTGAAGAAAAGCCAGAAACTGATATCAGCCCCTTTGGGGAGTCTCACAGTCACAGAAAGCTTTCTCTTTGCTATGGCCCAATTCCCAGTTCTCGCCACCGTGCATCTGCGTTAAAGGGAGCGACGGTCAACAGAGCTGTGCTGCACCCTAGCGTGCGGCGCCTCCTGGCGGCTTTATCCTTATAGACGTTTGCCTGTTCCCTCGAGTTCTGCTTTTATTTTTATTGAATCCGAGCAATCGAAGAACTGAATAGTAACTTAACGTTGCATACCATACAGATAGGCCCCCTCCTAATGGCCCCTATCCAGAGAGATAATCAGAGCAAAAACTAGATCCTCATGTCATGTCTCTGTGGTAAAGGGTCAGAAGCGAGACTGTTGCTGCTTTCTATGGGATTTCACCAGTCCATGCAAGCCTTCCACGAAACCGTGCGGATCAGCGTTTTTTGACGTTCTGTGGTCTTGTACACTCATGCTGTCTATTTCTCAGCCGCCACTGCCTTGAGCTGGAAAACCGTTAACAAGTGGCCCGTAACATGCCCTTTCCAACGATGAAATGTGGAGTATATGTGGGATAGGAAATAGGCTCAAATCCTTAACACAAGTTTCAGCAACCAGTTCTTTTCCAGAACAAGTTCAACACTGAACTCGGCATCAACACTGATCTAACATGGCGTAATGCCTCATCGCTTAACTATGCCGTTAATAAAATTATCAGCACAGGAGTCGACGGATTGCTGAAAGTATGCAAGTGAGTTTTACTACTCGACTACCCTTCAGCTGCTTTGGTGCGCTTCTTTATTAGGCTCAGTTGGAACAAAAAGTGTCTACGGGCAACCAAACCTTCCATCTGTCAAGTTTCTGTTGTCTTAGCAAAAATGACAATGACTTGAAATACAGTACCCGCCTAGAGTATATATGGGCTGGGGAACATTTTGCTGGGTGAGTCGCAAGGTCATTCATAAGCTTGGCTTTTCATGAGACGTAATGCGATGCACTTACGGGGGCAGAAAAGTCGTCCGAATGACTACACCCGGATTTCCCTAACTGAATAGAGAGAAACGCCCTGAAAAAAAAACAGGAGCACCCTGGCCAACATTGACGGCTCCTTAGACCGATACCCACTGAAAATGGCCATGTAGGCTTTAATAGAGGGCCATTGAAAGGGCGAGGGTCAGGAAACATACTGGATCTGAAATCAAAAGCAATTAGAATAGCACAAACGGTGAGGTAAGAAAAGCCACTTGTGAGTTCGGTCGGTGTAAGGACAAGCGACCTTCAAGTTGCTATCATAAGGATAGACTAATCCATCCATTTTTTCAAACCACCGGCTCGCGAGGGAGATTGTTTGATCTTTCAATTACAAAAAAGCGAAACCCTTCACCTTAAACACCACGCCATCTTGAAAGAAGGAGATCTGCGCCCCGCAATCAAAATGTTTTTATTGAAGCTCATTGTCAGGAATTTTCTCAGTGCTGTAGCATTTCGATTCAGACACCCACTTTTTCTTTTCAGCGCTCGCCGTGACTACGCTGGTGTACTCTTGTCCGCCTATCCGTTCTGCGTAAACCGATTCTATCTCCTGGAACAGGGCGGAACCGATTTCAACAACGCAGTCACATACGTGCATCTCTTCAAGCACCTCGAATTCATGTGCAGTACCGGCTTTGACGGTGAGTCGTAACAGATGTCAGCTGAACACGTATTGCGTGTGGCAACTAGAGGGGTGCAGAAATGGGCCGGTGAATCTTAACTAGTGTACCTTCGGCACTGATGCGCCTTCCTTCGCTCCTGTATTAGAAGGAGGGGAGCACCAATGAAGCAGGCACAATAATTACGACCTCCCACCCATTTCTCCGCCCATCCAGCAATCGCGGGATGTGTCTTAGGAGAGGCATTTAACGTGCACTGGTTCGCGAAAGCGCATAGCAGTTCCTTAAAACTCATGGATGACATGGTTCCTCCTCGTTCAATTTCATGAAGGCTAATAGTGCTGTTTCAGTGTACCAGTACAATCTTCCCTGTATACTTGGTGTAACAGCTCACGACCAAACATACAACGCTTGCTACTACAAGTTCCAGCAAACTCTCCAGAGCTATCCCAATATGTTATGCCAGTCAGTTTTGTCCAACTTTCATTACTTTTTATTGGAATCAATATAAATTAGCCAGTACAAGAAAAGAAATTAATGAAGCTAGAGACGTGTGAGTGACAGAAGGCCTTGCGACGGCTCAGGACTAACTCTAGGGAGAAGAAAAGTGACGTGACGGCAAAACCATCATTTTTCACCCTGGCCCTAGCCTTTCGCAGCAAATTCGACCCGGAAAGCGACGAAGAGTCAGCAGTGAGACCAAGCCATGTTTCTTCACTATATTCATCTGCGCTCTTTCAGCGAGATCGTGTTTGTATCGTGATCTCCCATCTTCTACCTCATTGTTGGCTTTGGAAGAGTTTACATGAGCAGAAAAGGGTGATGTGGCCTAGTACACTGCTCCTCCCATCTAGCTTTGCCCAAAGTAATAAATTATGGTCACCAAAATCGAACTCACATCAGAATTTCAGAGGCTTCACAGACGCTTGTCCTCTGCCTCGAAGGCGTCTTCGCAAACACATGTGGGCAGCAGGTAACCAATTGTGTCTCCGATGATGTATTCTAAAAGCATTTTTAAACCGTAGTGCGAGCATCAGATGTAGAGGAAATCTGTTCCTTACCTAATCACACTGTTCTGGATATGTTGGGGGCGGTGAAGTGCCAAGAGGCGCTGCTATCACATGCGCAAACCTTAGATCGAATCTTATTGGTGCCAGTTATGCCTTTCACCGCCAGATCCACCTGAATAGTATTAAAATTTCGTGGGAGGGCCCAAACACCAGAATGTACTGCATTACAGCTCCAACAAGTCATTGTATTGGCCAGATAAGCATTCGAACAGACTGTTTAAAACCGACTGGAAGTAAAGGTACAATCCTCATCATTACGGACTGTCGGGGCGTGTCAGTGCGGCTGCGTTTGGCGCGGTACCGAAGTCGTTCTGCACCAATTGTTGAAGCGGGCAAGTGACATTACTGTATATTATATCCTTCGTATTACTCGTTTTCTACCACTTTTTGTCGCATAAAACAGTGTGCGCACTCCTACTGGCTGACACGCCCCGACAGTCCGTAATGATGAGGACAGTATTACGATTTGAGTGGTTGCTACCTTTGCTGCCCCGCTTTTCGGAACCCAGACCTGAAGTTGTTCGATATTTTTCCTCGGAAGTGAAAGTGACTGGAAATTTGTACCCATGAGTAGTTTACATACCCTTGAATATGATTATCACATCAGCTTATACCTGGCACCCTACGCAACAGGCTCCGCTACGGGGGAGTTTTGGTGCAGGTGCCAGGCGTTCGAGTGGTGTGATATTACTGTACATACGTCCCACATGGACAAGATTTGGCAAAAGTTTTTCCCGGGAGAAACCTCATTCATACGCCGGCCTGAATCTCGAAAAGCGAGGTATTGAACGGTGAATAGTGCCCTATTGTCCTCCGTTTCATCCTAATCTTAAGCTTATGAGAATGACATTTCATCCTAATCTTGAGCTTATTGAGAATGAGTTCAGTTTTATCGATTGATGTTTACAGATTGGATGGGTGGAATGCGAAATGGAGCGTCTTGGCTACGCTTACGATTGCAATGGACTCATATGTTAGATTTTTATCAAATACGAGATACGCTGTATATTAATAAAGATCCCATGAAAGCTTCTTCTTGCAGTTCTACACGCTTTGATCACCACTGACGAGGGATTCGCCCGTCACCAAATCGTCGCGGAACAAAAGATCCGGGTGTACGGCCTTGGCATACGCTGCCTGATGAAAAAAATTGCATTTTTTCTCACTCGCTGGAGAAACGGGGTAAATCGTACTTCTGTTAATAAGGAGTGGCTGAAATCGTGATGAATTCCTCATCCTCCGGGACCCAATCTTGTAAAAAATATGGAATCCTTTTTCGCGCTGGCAGCTCGTTACGCAGTATTGTACACGCTTCACCTCTGTGCGAGGTGCCCGGCGTGCACTCCAACCCGGGCCTCATCAAGGTAAAGCCTCATTGTGCGAAACCCACCAGGGTGAGTCTTTGGCACTCCTTATCCCTGAGCCAGAGTAGGCGTGGCATTTGAACATGGCACGGAATTGGTTACTCGTGGAATTCCAGTCTGGGACAACTGTCATCTTGTTCTGTGTTGGACAGAGACACGACAACAATTGTGTCAAGATGAAAATATCTCACCAGAAGCATAGACACCTTAAGGTTAAGTTGAAGATTATCCCTGAGATGGCCACGCCTACCCCATCTCAGGGATTTCGCGTGTACCGTAGAACCCATCAGAGATATAAACACATACTCTAGAACCAACTGCAGCTGCATCTATCTTCTCCCGGGGTGCGATTCAACAGGCACACTAGTTCGGATGCTAACCGAATCGATGCCACACAGCTTACTCGCCTACTACCCCACGTTCTTGCCGCGCAGTCATAGGCTGTTTCCGAAACTTTCGTTCCAGATGCATGTTTCTTTTCGGTTAGCAACAAGACCGCATCATACCATTAGTATCAGTCGTTTACCACCAGTTGTTGGCGCATAACCACCTCAACAACTGATGCAGAATGCGCCAAACCCAGCCTCACTGACACGCCCCTTCATTCGCAGCGAACAAGAACTGACACACCCCTTCAGTCGCAGCGAACAAGACTTCACGTACATATCCGGGGTGAGGCAAAAGGAGCATGTAGCCTCCAAGCTCTCTATACTCTAGCGAACTGGAAATTTTCCCAGATAGTGGA